CAACCCTCAGACCAAGAATTGCATGCTCTACTGACTGAGCCAGCCACACATCCCTCATTGAACAAATTCTTAATTAAAAAAATAAAAATAACAAAATCATCTCCTCAAAGTCCATAGTTTCTCTGAGCAGCCATTTGGTTTTTATTTCCAAATAAATTTATTAGTACTGTATTTCAACAATAGCTGATTCTCCTCAACAGAATTCTAATATTTATTTAGGAATATATCAGTAAATTCCATTTGAATTTATCTTGTTTCCAATTGATTATAAAAATGCCATCTTGATCTTAAATAAAATATTGAAAATGAAAACTTCCCTTTATTCACTTCTCAAGTGTTGTTTATCAAGAGAATTGCTTAGAAAATGAGTTCTGCTAGATTTTGCTTTCACTAAACTTCCCTAGCCAATGATTTTAATTTTGATAATTTTAATAACATGGTATTAAAAGGTAAATATTGCTTGTTCCATCTTACCAGCTCCCCCAACCTTACTAAAAAATAAAGTTGTATGTATACAATGAATAAAACTTTTTCCTAAATTTCTGAACTAAATTCTGTATACTTTTCATGATTAGATGGACATACACACTTATTATTAGTATTAGTTTCTTGATAAGTTAGAAGATGAAGCCCAAGTTTTCCTTTATTAACACAATATTGGTTACACCTGACCTTTTGTAGCAGATGAACCTATATGATCTAAATGAGGTATTTTTTATTATAATATAATTTTTAGACTTTTTATAGTATAAGTGGGAAAGGGTATTTTAAAATTATTTTATTTTGAACATTAACTGAAATATCCCTGTGTTATTAATTAATCATACCACTACCTATTTTTAAGTTCTTTACGTATCCAGATACCTATTTGAATCATCAGTGAAGCAGACATACCACAATTTTAGTTCAATTGAAAGTTTTCTAAACATTTTTATACTATTGTAGACTTTTTTAATCTTCATCTATATTTTTTCTCTTATTTGTGACTCTCTTAAAACCATTTTTTTATTAAGATGGCTTTAGTTTCATTGTTTATTTTTACAAATGTAGTGACTGATTCAGTCTTATTAAAATAAATCAGATAAGTTGCAGTATGACCTCATTTTAGCAGGTATTTTTTTCTTGGTGTTCATTAAAAATTTTTGCAATGTAAAGAAAGCAAAGATAATAGTAAAATGGTTTTTGTACTTTTTTTTCTGAGCTTCTTGCCAGTGTTCCACCCTAAACTAATGGTATGAGGTACTCCTTAAAACGTTAACCCTCAAAATTGCTTCTGAAACCCTATTAGTTTTGGAAAGCGAACATGGCACTTTCTACTGCTGCTACCCTTGCCAGAATGGGTTTCACTTACTCACTGCTTCTTTGAGTTTTCACTTTCTGGATTAAAGTCTGGAATGGGCATATCTAATTAGCAAATCCAATTTCTGTAAGGCAGGCTGTGAAAGCAAGAATTTGCTATTTCCAGCTTTTCTATTGGGACATGGTATCTGACTCCTACTCAGATTTGTAATATGAGGAAATTCCTAAACATAGCAGGGGTCCCAGATGTTGGGTGACCTCAAAGAATAATGTAGATAGACTATCTATGTCAACTCCCAAATACATGTATCCAGCCTTGTTCTCTCCCTAGGGTTCCAGACTCACGTATTTCCAAATCTATTAGACATTTCCACTTCATAATTTACAACCATCTCAAAATTTATATATTTCTAAAAGATGTATTGATTTTTTTCTCCCCAATCCGTTTCTTCCTTAGTCTTTACTATCTCAATAAATTTGCATCCATTCCATCACTCTAAATGTACATCTTGAGTTCACATGTCCCTCATTCTCCACATGTCCTCCATCAGCAAGTTCCGTTTGCTTTACTTCTGATTCATTTTCTGAATCTCTCTGGTTCTACTGCCAAAGATGATTCTTGCCTTGTCTGTTTCAGCCTGGTAATAAATTTCTTGCTTTAATGCTTTACGGCTTTTTGAACCATTCTCTGTTATTTACTCAGTGTTTTGGTGGTGGTGGTTGAGAAGGGAGGCCCACTCACTGGTGTTGAGGAGGACCTTATCAGACAGGTTTGAGTCTGTCATAAGTCATAGCTAAATCCAGTAGCCTTCAGATGCAGTGGGGCCTTTATGGACTGGCCAAATCCTCTAGGGACATTTATTCCCTATCTTTCTATTAATAGCTTTGTCCTCTACTGGTAGTTTTTAAAATATGAGATTGTGTCCCTCTCCTGCTTAAAACTCTCCAGTAAGTGCTGTCTAATACAGCTTTCAGTGAAGATTGAAATGGTATATATCTTCACTGTTCAGTATGATAGCCACTAGCCACAAGTGGCCGCTGAGCACTTAAAACATGGCTGATGCAACTGAGGAACTGAAGTTTGAATTTTATTTATTTTTATTACTTTTTTCCAAGCCAAACTGTATCCAGCTTTATTAACGATACTTTCCATAAACAATCATGGTATTTCAGGCAGCACATGGGAAGATAGTCATTAACAATGTTCCATAACTATTATACTCCCTTCTTCCATGGATTACCAGAATCAGAAAGCCACTATAAAACCCAGTGGAGTCTTCATCTGATCCCCTGAACAGGGAAAGAGTGAGGGTTGACATTTCACATTTAGCATGTTGTTCAACAACCTTTTCACAAGCAGACCCTGACTTTCAGGAAATGAAATGAAGATAGCATAATTGGCAATCTGAAGATCCACAAGCTAAAAAAGGAGGTCTTTTGAGGGATGCCCTCTCCATGGTGACACTGTAAAGTCCAGATTGCCTGACATATACTGGGAACCATGTCTTGGGGTAAAGTTCCAACAGATCTCTGGGTTTAAGGGAGTTAAGTCTAAGTTGAAGGCAGACAGGGAGAAGAGGACAAAAAAAAAAAAAAGAATTTTAGTTTTTCCACACCACAAGGCATTTGTGCCAAGGTGGCTAATGTGTTGCAACATCAAGGAATCCCTCCTCCTGGGAGCCAAAAGGAAGATTCTCAAAACTACAAGGGAATGGTGTTTTTCCATTTGTATCAGTCTAGCTTCAGAGATACTGTTAGTGATATATGCCCTTCGCCCCAAATAACAATGAAATATTCTGTGTGCTAACAACATAGCTTAAAAGAAAAAAGTAAAACAAAATTCTGCATTTTTATAAAACTTGATAGAAAATAGTATTTCAAACTGTACAGTCACAAGAAGTACACAGCTATCAAAAATGCACACACTTCACTTGGCATCTCCAGCACCTTCAGCTTTCTGTGCCTGGTCTGTTTTGGCATCTCTGTTTTTTTGCATGGTTATTCTCAATCTTTGCCAACGTCAGTTTCCTGCTTTTTCCCATGTACCTTCTCTTCCTTCTTTGCAGGGGCCTTTCTAGGCTTGGGCTCTGGCTTTAGAGGAGCAGGTTTAGCAGATAACTTTGCAGATCTTCTCTATGGCTCCTTCTTCACCTTAGCTTTATCTCCTTTAGCATCCACTTCAGCCTTCCTCTTGGGCATGGGGGTGACGGTGGCACTGGACGCGGAGATATAGCGGCATGGGCTTTGGCCGTCCGGAGGTCATTCGTGTCTCTTCTTCACACCATGCCTGGAGTTTTAATTTTTAACTTAAATAGCCACTTCTGGTTAATAGTGTTTTGGATGGCAGAGCTGGATTGGCTCCCCTTCATTCTTAAAATAGAATCCAAAGCCCTTATCAGGGCCTTCTATGATTTTACTCTTGCTTATCTCAATAGCTTCATCTCATACTATTCTCTCCCTTGGTTCAGCCACATTGGCCTCCTTTCTGTTCCTAAAGATCACTCAGCCCTTTCTCAGCTTGGAGCCTTTCCGCTGATGCTGTCTGCCTGGAGTGCTCTTCTCTCAGTTTTGAACTTGGTTGATTCTTTCACACCCTTCAGTCTATGGACTAAGCATCACCTAGGAGAGTCCTTACCTGGTCAGCCTACCTAAATTGGTCATTATGATCTTAAGTTCCTTCATAATATTTATACTATACTGTAATTAATCATTTATTTATTTATTTTTAGTCTCCTCCTTAAGAATATAAGCTCTGTGAGGGTATGGTCCTTGCTTCTCTAGATCCTGGCATGTAATATCTATTTATTAACAAATATGCACTGAATTCCTGAGATTCTTAGACATTGGCTACAGAGGTTGATTACTTTTTTGGGGGTGGGGTAAAATTTTATAAGTCTGTAAGGAATTGAGAAAACAAATTTGTTTTAAAGATGAAGTGAAATTACATATAAACAGATGAAAAGGTGCAATCTAAATACAAAGTATTATTAAAGAAGTTTTATAGTTTAGTGATTTAATAGGACTTTTTCTTGCAGAGCTCTGAGAATTTACAGATATATGAAATTTTCATATAGAAAATTAAAATGACATTTGTGGAAACCCCATGGTGAGGGAGGTGCCAGTCAGGCAGAGTTTATACTGTGTATTCATTTGATTTAAAAGAATTCATTTTAATATTTAAAAATGTGTCTCATTTAATATTGATTTAATTATAAATTTGGAGTTAATATCTTTGTATTTTGTAATTTTTAAAATGCAGTTTTATCCCATTCTTAGAAAATTTGGTGTGATATGAAAATGTACATCTACAAAAGGATTAATTAGAAAAGACTTCCTCTTTCTGTAGCAAATCATTCCTTTTTTAAAAAATTATTTAGTCTTAAAAATCTGGCTGATTTATAAATTTTCAGTAAAACATTATTGCTTAAAACAGGATAATGGTTATGTCATGGTTCAATTTGAAATATAAATGAAATAAAGAATGCTGAGTTTCCGAATTGTGCACTAAGTAATTGCTTTTGGACTTAGTGCTTTGAATTTTCTTAATAGCTCATTTTGGATTGTGATGTAACCAATTTATATCTATGTAGATAGTATATCAAGACTAATAGTACTTTATTATTATTTATGTTTAATTCTCTAATACACTCAGTAATAACTATTTCCCTACCCTTCCTCTTTTGTGATTTCTTTTTTTTTAGGATCAGGATGCCTAAAGTTCATAAGATAAAAAAGTCTCTTACACCTCAGATTTCTTGTTTGACAAATGAAGATTCTTATAAACAGTTGGATTTTTTGCCTGACAAACTAAGAGCAAAGCTGCTTCCTTTCCAGAAAGATGGTATTGCTTTTGCCCTCAGAAGAGATGGCAGGTAAAGTACTTTTTTCAAGGCATGCTAAAAATACTGAATTTTGGAGTATGTATATATATAAAAAAAACAACAAAAGTTTGTGCAAACCATTTTTTTTGTGTGTGTACAAAGTCTTCCTATTAATTTTTTTTACTGTATCTTGAAATAATAATTTTAGAATATACCTCATTTTGCCTTCTTGAATTATATTTTAGTTGACAATACAGCTCTACATTAATAGCCATTTTTTTCCTAGCATGTGGAAGGTTGTATCCTATTATGTCTTTCATGGTTGCCATTAAAAAGTTTGCTCTTGCGACTCAAAAACTTACTTTACAGGTGACTTACTGATTAGAAAGAGAAAAATTACAAAATGTTCATTTAGTATAACCAATAGTGGGGCACCTATAGGCATAATGTGCTGCACAGGAGTTATACAACATTTCTTTCTGGAAATACTTGTCCTGTTGATAATGGGGAAACAGTCAAACCAGATCAGAATGTGGGATATTTTTTTAGGACAATTGACCTGAACTCTTCAAATGATACAGTGTCATGAAAAACCAAGGGAAGTGATGAGAATGTCCTAAATTGAGAGATCTAAAAGTTAAAACATCTGAAAGTAATACATAAATCTTGATTAGATCCTGGATAAGTAAAAAAAAAAAAGCTTTAGAGGACATATTAGGATAACTAGGAAATTTTCATCTGTGCTCTTTTAGAGTGGTGTTATTGAATTAATGTCAGTTATCATGGGTGAGGTAATGATGTTGTAGTTGAATGTTCTTTTTCTTGGAAAATGCATGATAAAGAATTTGGGATGAAGAATTGTGATAGCAGCCTACTTTCTATATTTCCCCGAAAGGAAAGGACATATGTATGTTTAGATAAACTTTGAGTCAGTCAGTCACAATGTTAGCACTGAAGCTGGTGAGTGGTATAAGGGTGCTGGCTATAGTATTCTCTTTGGATTTTCTGTCAGTTTGAACATTTAAAAAAAAAGTGATCAGTTTGATTTTCATTCTTTTGTAGGTCATCTGTGTTTTCTGATTGGATCCAGTCTTTTTCTGATTTTAAGATTTTCTCTTGGTCTTTGGAGTTCTGCAGTATCACAATAATTTATTCAGTGTGGTTTTCTTTTTGTTTATTCTCCTTGAGATTATTGTGCATTTTTTTAATCTGGAATTTATGTCATGTTGATTCTGGAAAATTCTCAGCTCTTCTCTATTTTTAAAAATTATTTTTAAAGATTTTATTTATTTGAGAGCAAGAGCATGAGCGGTGGTAGGGGACAGAGGGGTCAGAGGGAGAAGCAGACACCCCCGCTGAGCAGGGAGCCCGATGCGGGACTCGATCCTGGGACTCCAGGATCACGACCTGCGCGGAAGGCAGATGCTCAACCGACTGAGCCACCCAGGCGCCCCTATCTCTTTAAATATTGATTGGTACCCATTCTGTTTATTTTTTTCTTCTGCAACAGCAATGAGACTTAAACTTAACCATTTCACTCTATCCTATGCTTCCATTAACGTGTCTTATATTTTCTGTGTCTATCTCTGCTACAATATGGCTACTTTTAAAGATCTCTTTTTAAAAATAAAAGATCATGATTTAATTATTCTAATCCATTTAACTTACCTATCCAGTGTTTAAATAATTTTTTGAAATGATGTATAAAATATATGGAAAAAAGTATGCAGATTACAAGTGTACAACTTGAAAAATTTTTACAGTATCACCATCACCAAGATCAAGAAATAGTACATTACCCACAACCCAGAAACCTTTCTCTTGCCCCTTCCCAATCACTACTGCCTCCTTCCTGTCCGAAGGTAACTACTTACCCTAACTTCTCAATCCACAGATTACTTTTATATATTTGACTGTATCATTGTAATCATCCATATGTATCTTTTGTGTCTGATTTCTTTTGCTCAACATCATTGTGATATTCTTTCTTGTTATTGCATGTGGTTGTAGTTGGTTCATTCTCATATAAAATTCCACTGTGTAAATATACCGATTTTTTTTATTCATTCACTGTTGATGAATATTTGAATTATTACTAGTTTGGGGCTTTTACAAATAATAATGCTATGAACATTCTTATACAAATCTTTTGGTAAATACATATATACATATATATTTCTGTCATGTGTATACCTAGAAGTATAATTGTTGAGTCATAAGATCTGTATATATTATAAGTAAATAACTTCCTATATTAGTTTGCCAGGGCTGTCATAATGAAATACCACAACTGGGTGACTTAAACAACAGAAATTTATTGTCTTACATTTCTGGAGTCTAGAAGTCCAAATTCAAGGTGTAAAAAATAGTTGATTCCCACTTAGGGTTGTGAGGGAAGGATCTGTTCCAGGTCTCTTTCCATGATTTGTAGAACACTGTCTTCTTCCAATGTCTTTTCACATCATCTTCTCTCTATTCATGTCTATTCCCTTTCTTTAAGGATACCAGTCATTATTGGATTAAGGCCCACCTTAATAATCTAATTTTAACTAATTATATCTGCACCGATTCTGTTTCCAAATAAGGTCACATTCTGAGGCACTGGGGGTTAGAACTTTAACATATAAGTTTGGTGGGGACATCATTCAACCAATAACTCAGACAGTTTTCAAAGTGTACCAATTCTTACATCAATAATGCGTAAGAGTCAGTTGTATCACATCTTCACCAACACTTCTTATTGCCTATCTTTAATTTCATTTTAGGTATTCTGGCAAGTATATAGTGATACCCATTTAGGTTTTCATTTGCACGTCTCTGATAAATGAAATTTAGCACCTTTTCATATGCTTATTAGCCATTCTTTCATCCTTTATTATTGTCTGTTAATATCTTATCCATTTTTCTACCAGGTTGTTTGCCTAATTGTTTTCTAGGAGTGTTTTGTCATATTTATGTTCTGGATACCAATTTTTTGTCAGATATATATGTTGCAAATAAAATTTATCAGGCTACAGTTTTCCTTTTCTCCCTCTTACTGATCTCTTTTGATAAGCAAAGTTCTCAGTTTTAATGTATCTTTTTTTTTTCTTAAAGATTTTATTTATTTATTTGACAGAGACAGAGATAGCGAGAGCAGGGGGAGTGGGAGAGGGAGAAGCAGGCTCACGGCTGAGCATGAAGCCCAATGCGGGACTCGATCCCAGGACCCTGGGATCATGACCTGAGCCAAAGGCAGATGCTTAACGACTGAGCCACCCAGGTGCCCTCAGTTTTAATGTATCTTAAATACTCATTATTGGTATTGTATTTTATGGCTTGCACTTTTTGCATCTTATTTACAAACCTTTGTCTACTACAAGGTTGTGAAGTTTATTTTCTATGTCTTCTAAAGCTTTATTGTTTTGGGGCACTTGGGTGGCTCAGTTGTTAAGCATCTGCCTTCAGCTCGGGTCATGATCCCAGGGTCCTGGGATCAAGCCCCAAATCGGACTCCCTGCCGAGCAGGAAGCCTGCTTCTCTCTCTCCCACTCCTTGCTTGTGTTCCCTCTCTCACTGTCTCTCTCTGTCAAATAAATAAATAAAATCTTAAAAAAATAATAAAAAATTAAAAAATAAAAACTTTATTGTTTTATTTTTAATTTTTTAATTTTAATTTTTTAAGATTTTATTTATTTGTCAGAGAGTGAGAGAGAGAGAGAGGAGGCATAAGCAGGGGGAGCGGCAGGCAGAGGGAGAGGCAGGCTCCCAGCTGAGCAAGGTTACCGGTGTGGGACTTGATCCCAGGACCCTGGGATCATGACCTGAGCCGAAGGCAGACGTTTAACCGACTGAGCCATCCAGGCATCCCTGTTTTATTTTTTAAATTCAGATCTACATTCCACTTAGAATTGAGTTTTGTATGTGGTATAAGGCGGGGATCAGAGTTGATTATATATTTATTATTGTATTATTTACTTTTGTCTATCGGTGTCTGATTGATCCATCACAATTTATTGGAAAGACTAACTTTTCCCTACTATATTAGACCTTTGCCATAAATCATATCATTTTATGTGTGTCTTTCTAGATAAGTGCTGTCTAATGGAACTTTCTGCCATTATGGAAATGTTCATATATATGCTGTTTAATTCAGTAGTTATTAGCCACATGTGACTGCTGAGTTCTTGATATACAGCAAGTGTAACTAAGGACTGAATTTCATATTTTAACTAATTGTAATTGATTTAAATTTAGCCACGTGTCTGGTGGCTACCATATGGGACAGTACAGGTATAGATTCTTTATTTTTCTGATTGTCAATCTTTGTGTCAGCACCATACTTCTTAATTATTATAACTATAATAGATATTTTGGTCTGAGATAGCATAAGTCTTACAACTTTGTTATTTTTTTTTTCAAAATTGCCTCAGCTCTTGTTGACCCTTTGCACTGCCTGTAAGTTGTAGAAATCATTTATCATTTTTCACCAAAAAAGTTGCTGCAATTGTGAATGGGATTGTTTTGCATCTGTAGATCAGTTTGGGGAGAATTGATATCTTTACAGTATAAAGTATTTTAATCAATGTGAATATTCTTCCTTATTTAGTTGTCCTTCATTTATTTTCATCTCAATTATTCTTCCCCTTAATTAATTTCTTTTCAATAAGATTTTTTTAAAAGATTTTACTTATTTATTTATTTATTTGACAGAGAGACACACAGCAAGAGGGGGAACACAAGGGGAGTGGGAGAGGGAGAAGCAGGCTTCCCGCGGAGCAGGGAGCCTGATGCAGGGCTCGATCCCAGGACCCTGGGATCATGACCTGAGCTGAAGGCAGACGCTTAACGAAGGCAGCCACCCAGGTGCCCCTCAATAAGTTTTTATAGTTTTCAATATATAATTCTTTCATGTATATCATTATATTTATTCCTAGGTGTTTAGTATTTTTGATGTTGCTATAAAATGTCATTTCCTCCCTCTGGCTTTTCTAAGATTTTTTTCCTTGTTTGGTTATTCAAAAGTTTTACTATGTATGATGTGCCTAGGTTTGCATTTAAAGTTTTTCATC